GACAAGGATATGGGAAAAAAAAAAACAATACTAAATAAAACACAAAGTACACAATATGTATGATTAAAGTCAGAGCAAATTTATCCAATAACTGTGAGTCAATGATTAAATAGAATTAATGATCAAAAGTTTTCTTCGTCGAATATTGTTTAATGCAGTAAAAAGAGAGAAACACGTGTCACTTTCATTATTCCTTTTATGTTTTGTTTATTCTTGTTAAATAATACGCTCCTGATTCTCTCTCTCTCTTTCTGTCACATTTAACCAGCGGCCACGTGTGAGACCGACACACAATCGCTCTCTCGCACGTATAAAACGAGAAAGAGAGAGAGTGGGCGTCGCTTGCGCCGCCGAGTTAAAGTATGTACTCGCATTTACGCATCCTCGCACTCACCGGCCACGTGTGTTATTGCGGCAAATGACACAATAGTTTACGCATGCATGTAGACTATCTATAGATCGTGAAATTATATATCTTTTTAGATACAATCTAATACGCAGATAACGCGAATATAATCTATGGGTACAGACACGCTAATAATGACCGATAACTACTCGTGCGGTTATTCAAAATGAAACACGATCGCTACCTGAAAAGCTGTTGTGCGTAATTAAACTCGACACAATACTGATAAAAGCGATTTTCACTTTTTTTAAAGATAAACTTCTGCAATATTTACAAAAATAACATTCAGGAAATATCTCATTCGGGAAGTGACGTTAAATGCGCATTAAAAAAAAAAAAAAAACAAAAAAAAAACAAATTGCCAAGAACATTTCGCGATAAGTTTTTTATTGAATCGTTTCGTGTGTTTTTAATTCGCGTCTCCGCGTTCTCCGACGTCTTCGATCGAAGTTTGTCGGCGCGCATGGCGGCCACGATGAGCTCGACAACAAACGAGCTTTAAGAGGAAACCGTGGCTCGACCGATGCGGTGTTCGTTCGTGCCGGGGTGTGGGTGGTAAAACCGTCAGGTCGCGAAGGGTCACAGAGCAATGGAATCGCAAACGAGCGGCGAGAAAGAAGCGCAAGGGAGACGGGCGAACGCAACAGGAACAACACAAAGAACCGTGCGAGGCAACGTGAAAGAGAGAGAGAGAGAGAGAGGAAGAGAAAAAGAGAAAAAAAGAGATAGCAATTTTTCCCCGCCGGTGTGTGCGCTCGATTCTTCGTCTTTTATTTCCTATACGAATGACAGGGTTTTATTTGCGACGCGCGACACCAACTAACGATGACGCCGCATGTGCGGCACGCGGAGGGAGGGTCTCGAACGAGAGCGAGTAGATAAGAGTGCCGGGCTGATAAACGTCGTCACAAAGTATCGCTGTGACGAGCAACAATTGAAGAAACAAATAATATTTCTCACAAATCACCACCTTATCATTGTTATCATTGTTATTCCAATATTGCGCTTTACGCAATTTTAATTCTGTTTTGCGACAGAAGACCCTCTTCTCGTTCGATCACATCGATTCTCATCTAGGTGCATCCTCGTCGTTCGCGCGCAAACGTTTTCAACGCGCACAGATCCTCTCGTTATCGCGACTAATTGCGTTTAGAATATAACGAAGTGAGAGACAGGAGATAGAGATAGAGATAGAGAGAGAGAGAGAGAGAGAGATAGAGCGCGAGCTCCTTATTACTGTCACATAAAGGGAGCCAAGAGGAGGAAGAGATGATAACACGAGTGGAGTAGGGAAACTGCGGTACAGCGGCGAAGTATCATTTGCCCGCATAGACCTTTCCGTTTCCCTACTTCGCCTAAATGACGGGCGTCCTCTTCTCTCTCATCTAGGGTGCACTCTCCGCCGCAGCGCTGGCACCGCCGCGAGTCATCCGCCGTCGAGATATAACGACGCCGAGAGGTCGACGTCGACGTCAAGACGAGGAAGCCGGCGATGGCGCGGTAACGGCAGCGTGTAGATGTGTATAGGAGGGAGGGGGAGTATATATATATATATATATATATATATATATAAAATATATATGTATATATATCTCGCAAGCTCCGGATGGTAGCTTCAAACGAAAACTCTGCCGCGTCCAACGAGTTTGTATCGAGCGTAGGAGGTAAAAGCACCACAGGGCTGCGAGAGAGATAGAGAGAGAAAGAGCGAGAGAAAGAGAGAGAGGGGAGGGGACGAGGATGGAGGGCAGGATAGCGAACGAAGCTTCGAATGAAGCAGGGCGTAGAGTGGGTCGACGAGCGAACGAGAGAGACGGCCGAAAGAAAGAGCAAGATAAAGAGGGCGAGAGGGAGAAAGAGAAGAGCGGGAGCGTGATAACGCGGAAAGAGAGCAAGAAAGAGGGACAGAGAGGCTTCTCTCGTAGCGCGATGCTGCTGCTGCTGCTGCTGCTGCAGAATGAGGCTGGGACGAGGGAAACGGGGAACGCGAGAGGAGAGGTGGGGAAACTGCCGCAGACCTCGGTCTGCCGTGGTAGGCGAGGTGAGGTGGCAATCAATAAATATACAGAACTGGCGAAGAGCGAGGGAGACGGAGGGTGGGCCGAATGAGCGTGCAAGCGAGCGAGCAAGCGACCGAACGAACGAGCGGCGACTGCCTGAAAGCGACAGAGGGCAAGAGAGAGAGAGGGGAGGGAGAGAGAGAGAGAGAGAGAGAGAAGAGAACCGCGCTTCGCTGGTTGCGTTCGTCCGTTCGCTTGCTCGTTCGTTCGTTCTTGCGTCCCCAAAGCCCTACGGACCTAAACCCGGAGCGAGAAAAAGCGCGTCGCGGAGCTCCAAGAGGAACGAGCGAGACGGGCACGGTCGAAAGAAGTCACCGCCGAAGACGGAGACGGATGACAGCAATGGACAGGGGAACGGACGGACGGGAGAGAGGTTCCCGCCCGAAGGAAGAAGAGCGCGGCGATGGGCTCAGGAGACACGAAGAAGAACGACGGGTCGAAGGTGAAGCGAACGAAATAAAGAGGACGGAGTCCCCTCGTAATCTGCGAGCGGAAACGGGAAATAGTATCGAGACGAACGACGAGGAATAAAAGGGTGCGGAATATATCCCCTTCAGGGGCATTTATGCAACGCATTTCTTCGAATGCATTAACGCGAGTGTTTTCCCCGCGAACGGGGAAAGCAGTGAGCGATAATTTCGTCTAACGAATGAAAAATCCGACGCGCGACGCGTCGGAAGATAAATTCAAGAAATTTCAATCTCTCAGGATGATTTATTTATTGATCGCACAACAAAACTCACCCGTGACAATCGCTTGTTCTTGAACGTAACTTTTAGTCGAGTCAAAGGAAAGAACAGTTTAGAGCGATGCGTGTCTAGAACTAACGCCGAGTTCGGTCGAAATGTGAGAGAGTTCTCTTCTTTGTCGTGAGGTAGCGACCGAGAGGAGGGCTCGGGAGGAGCCTTGATAACCTTGGAAGGAGAGAAAGGCTGGGTACGACGTGCACGCACGGGACTAATTGATTTCGAGACGCAGCAAGAGAGAAGGGAAGGAAAAGAGAGAGAGAGAGAGAGAGAGAGAGAGAGAGAGAGAGGCGAGAGGGAGGGGAGGAAGAAAGATCCTCTGCTCGTTAAGACGGCGTTGATATATCGCGTTGACGCGCAAGAACGTACCGGACCCACTTTGTATCGCACGCCCGCTCTCGAACAACCATGTAAATCCACGGTGCAAGTGCAACAGCGAGCTCGTAACGGTGCGCCGCATAGCAGAGACGGCGATCTCGGACCGTGAAATGCACTTTATTGAGATGCACACGGTTTTACCGTAGACTCTTATTTATAAAATAAATCTTACACATCGCGTTCTCTTATCAACTCAAACAGTTTTGTATTATTGCTCGCTTTAATTTTGTATATTTGATAATAAATTACATGTAAAAAAAAAAAGCACGAAGGAACAAAGTGTAAAATTACGTTTGCCGTCTACAATTTGAGAAAGCAAGACGTGCTTCAAAGAAGGAAAGAACTACAATATTCATAGAATTCTCCGATTCATTCGTCGCCAAGTTTTGCGCTCGACACAGTTCGATCGCAAAAGCGGCGAAGACGAACTGGTTTCCGCGCGGAAACGTGATTCGACGACCGAAATCGAAGTAGCCGGGAGCAAACTTCCCTCGTGGACGAGCATCATAACTCACGCCGGCAAATATTGTGCCGTCGAAGATCGCTCGCTCGCTCGTTCGCGCGCACATACCCCTATTTCCCCTCCCGTTCGAAATACAAAGCACGCGCGCATCCCACGAGCGCTCGTTACACGAAAAATATATTTGCCCGCGTTTCGTCCGAACAATATCATGCGTGATCGCGCGGGATCAAATAAAAGGCGAAGAAGAAAAAAAAAAAAAAACGAAAGACGATAGTATCGTTTCGGAAATAAAGAAAGAAGAAATCGTTGCGAGATACAAACGAGATCGCGCAATAGTAGCTCTAACGAACGAACGCCATTGTTGCGCTACAAACGAGAAAGTGCTTATTATCGCAAATTTTTTATTTCTCCCAAGTTCCGTTATATGCGTAACACACACACACACACACACACACGCCGCGCTTTACACTCTATTAGCGCTGTTTTCACCCGATTTCTTCATCTGTAAATGTCAAAGTTATCCGCGCGATAGCTACGGGGGACTGCCGTAAAAGAGACAAAATGTAAACGATGTTATTTCTACAGATAGAACTAATATACCGAAGAAATCGACCATTAGAAGCGCGCGCGCGCGCGCGCTTACTATTATTATCGGACTTCTTTCTTCGATCTACCTTTCGTATAACGACGCCGCTTATCGCGACGTTGGCGCGCTCGCGTTACCGCGCCGGAGTGGAAAAGAGCGAAAATGGAAAAAAAAAAATTAAAAAAAAAAAAAAA